GTATTACCATAATGATAACAGCAACGCTCAGGATAAGATTAGGAGAGCAAAACTGGAACTACCAAAGTCACCGAGCTCGGAGTTAAAAGAGATAAAGAAAGAAAATAAAGACAGCAAACAGCTCGGCCACTGCTGCAATATCTTGACATCTCAGTTACAGTCCATTGTTTTGAGTGGTGGTAATGACACCGGGTCCATTGCTAAGGCTGCAGCAGTAATACATTACAGTCCCAAATCTCTGCTGGGAATATCAGCCCGCTATCTTTACAATGCTCTGGAAACACAGATGACATCTAAAAGCCCTTTGTGGTACAGTTAAAGTGATGTACAATAATTCATGCTGCTGCACAACACAAAGCAAAAAAAAAAAAGTTACCTTAAAAACCCTGAACAGCAGCGACACACCAACCCACCCACACTCTTATTTTCCTCTGTGTTAATGCCTCCTCGCAGAGCCGTAAGAAGCACCAATTAGTCTCTGTTTTAAATTGGACCATAACTTTGTGGCGAGCACCTTAAGAGGCGCAGCACCACTTTAAAACGGCCTCGATTATATCTTCAGTCAAGCATGTGAATCTCTGAACTTCTTTACCAGGAATCCATGTATTTTTTTTTTTTTCTCTTTCTCCCCCGGTGGGCTGGACCTGTACTATAATGAGAGAACATTTATTACTCCCAGCTGAAGTGCTTCACAGCTTCTCCCTGATGAGCTCGACTGTTGAAACATCTGAAGGTCCTAATGGCCGAGACGAGGAGGCATAAGTGAGAGTCTAACCACACTGCTCTCCTTTTGTCTGGCCTTCATTAACAGGCCCAGGAGCTCATGCGGCCACAGCAGCATGCAGATCAACCAGCAGCTGCAGTGTGTGAGCGGTAAACCCGATATTTCACCGCTAAGATTGAATCCCAGTTGAGACGAAGGGAACATAAAACAAAAAAACACAGTGGAATTCATACAAGAGAGAACAACAACAAAAAAGAAAAAAAAACTTCTAACAACAAAATATATATATATATATGCTGCTATGTAGTTTTCTATTCACTGTGTTAAATAATTGGTTAGTATTTTTAAAAAAGAAGTTACAAAAAGTCTCCAAAACATCAAGCAGAATATTTTTTCTTCATCTGAATGGCCAAAAAAGAATGAAACAAAGGCCACAGTCTGACACAGATCCAGGCTTCAGCGGCTCTTTTCCGCTGATTGATGCTCGACTCTCTCGGATGAAGGCAGAAGAGCATCAAGCGTTAGAGAAAGATTCACTTTAAAAACACAAAGCAACTGTTTTCTATAAAAGTTGTAGATATACAGAGTCTTAACTCCCGTAAAAGGTTTCTGTACCTTTGATTAAGCACTCAAATTCCATCCCCCTCACATTGTTCTGTAGATCTGATCAACATAAAACATGAAATGGCTGAAACTTCATGTATTTTGCTTCTACAGTCCATTTTCTGCCTCTGTTAGTTTCATCACAGTTTTCCTTTGCTCAGCACCTTCCCCTGAATGTGAAGCTCATTCTGCATTATATTTTTCAACCTTACCTTGACCTTTACAGGAATATTTTATTTTGTAGTTTATGTGAATTCCCAGTTGCTGCTCTTATATCATCAGGATTTTATTGTGACAACTGATTCATTGTTTTAATGGCTAATTTAACCCTGTGAGCCCCACGGCAGTTTCTGGGCGCCGTTTTGTTCCCTGTCACATTTTTTTACTCTCTGTGGGCTGATTTTTTTTTTTTTTTACTGCAGTATAAAATATAAAGTTCTGCTTTTCCATGGAAACAGCAGAAACACAAAGAAGGAGAAGAAACGCATTTTGTGCAGTATGACAGAGTTAGAATGTCATAAATCATGAAAAAATTAAATAAAATCAAAGTTTAACTTCTTAAATTATCAGTTTGCAAAAGCTGAAAAAAAAATCTTGATTAAAAAAATCATCGTGTCGATAAATGTACCAGTTTTCCATGAGCAGTGGAAAATCCTGGTGGCTTAACATGCCAACCTCTTTCACGCACTGTTCTGCCAAAACACTTCACCACACTGAATATCTTCCTCTGTATACCATATCTGAGCCATCCTTCCTCTACTTTATTGATTAAATATTTTTATTTTCCTCTTAATCTCTCTAATTTGTTTGTACTCTTGTGTCAGCTCTGTGTAAACAGAACCTGCAGCGCACCGAAAAAGTGATTTTTTTTTTTCTTTTCCAAAGGATCTGGTTACAGATTGTTAATTCTTGACACATTTTTAAAGAGACATAAAATAATCAAATAATCAAACACAAGCTTAATTAAATAATTTCTCTGTCCGCCGTCCCCAAGTGTTTGCTAAAAACGTATCAAAGTATCTTAACTTGCATTTAATTAAAATTAGTCATTTAAATTCTTTTCTGCTATAAAGCACTTTGGGTCAATGCCTGTTGTTTTAAATGTGCCATATAAATAACAGTGGCTTGACTTTACTGGGATCAATTAATACCAGAGAACTAGTTTAGCATATTAACATAGTTTAGTTGTTTGGTTGTTAGAATGTGTCAATTACCTACAGTTCTGCAAATATCCTGTTGCATGCTATCTTTTTTTGGCTGCACGCTGCCGTTTCTTTGGGTAAATAGTGGCTCAGAAACTTACTAAGCATATGAATGCAATGGTCAGCACTTTGGCTGTTGTTTAGCAGATTGCAGGTGGTTTAGCAAAAAATAACTTACCAAGACAGTAACTTGGTGGTCGCCGTTCTTGGCTAGTTCTATCATGTTGTGGCCGTTGTACAGCAGGTTTTCCATACAGCCATGGAAGTTCCTCTTGGAGACGAGTGATTTCTGAGAACTGAAACCCTGAACTGCCCCCACACTCAGCTGTATGAAGAAGACACAAACACACAGGGGATTACATCCTTGTAAAATACCAGAAACACAATATCTGAGCCTTATCTATGGCAGCAGTAGACTCTGAATAGCCTCCTCAGTTCCGCAAACGGTGTAACCTATGCATGTGTGCACGTTTGTATGTTTCGGCCGACCTGTTCGACGTCCCAGTGGCTGAACTCTGCAGGGATTTGAACTCTTTCTGTGTGTTTGTCCACAGTGAGGTTGAGGTGAAAGCTCCGGCGCTCCACTGCAATGTGGTGCCAATGCTGATCGTCTAACAAGCTGCCGAGAGAAGCGAGACGCCGCGGTTCAGAGGATGAAGTCCTGCCTGGAAGACGGGACGACAAAAAACAAACAAACAAGCAGCAGTTAGGAGGACAAAGAAAGTACAGATTTTTAAAGCAGCTTGTTTTAGACCTGATTCTAACATCATGGGAGGTATTAAAAATAAACATGTGGTTGAAGTGTAATTAAATGTAAAATCTCATCATGCCATTGATTCAGAATGTCCAACACTGGAGATCAAATAGTCTCTGATTGTGGGTTTTAGTTGAAACATAAGTATATATATGTATTTATATATAATTAAAGTCATCATGAAAAGGCACACAAATTCAAAATGTCCTGAGATATTGTCATTCAAACATATAGGTTGTGTCCAAATTCACCCTGTATACCCGACATAGTGCACTACATAGGGTGCTAAGTTACAAACGTCGCACCCTGTATAGTGCACTCAAAATATCCCACAATGCACCGTGACAAGCAATGTGCAGCCGATGGTCACTAACTGAGCAATGTGGACCATCATGCATTGCGTGAAAGGAAATGCAAACTAGACGAATGACAGCATGAAAACTTGTCATTCAAATCTAAGTAATTTCCCATTTATGTTTTGTTAAATTTTATTTTACCCAATTCTTAGCTACACAATAAACTGTAAATCTGATGTGTTTGCACGACGCTGCTACGACACAAATCGCAGCAAGTGAGCGACATGACTAACAGCTCAAGTCGTGTCTGAAATGTTGCTTTGCCGAGGTGCTTCCTACATAGTTCACTTCATTGTGGTCCCTGTATAGTGAGTAGGGAGTAAGGGGATGATTTCGGACACAACCACAGACAGATATCAAGCAAACTTTTTGTTTTTGTGGCACCACTTGTCACATCTGCTCTATCAGTTATGAGTGTTCAACAAAATCCCCCCATTTATTTAGCCAAAGTACTTTGTATTAAAAAGTATTCTACATGCGTTTTTTTTTGTAATGTGACTACATGTGGATCTGAAAATGTCAGTTCTTGCCTTCTGTCTTTTCTATTTTTTTGTTAATGTGCACTCAAAGGTGGAACTTTTCTTGACGGTTAGACTTTTTCACATTTGAACTCATGCACAATCTGAGATTGTTTGATCTACTTGTTCAATATTTCATGTTCTAGATCAATGACAATTTTTTTTTTTGTTCCAAAGCAGGGTTGAAGCGCTGAAGACTACGTGTACATATCAATGAGCCTGCAAAGTTTCAGGACTCGAACTACAATAGTTCACAAGTTATTGCATGTCAAACACTTCTCAACAGATTGATACGAAGGGGGGATGTTTGGGTCCAGCCCTATTCAAACGATGCCTTCAAATTCATACCATGTATTTTACATGATTTAAATGATTCGTCCTTATTGGTGATTTAAACTGAGACTGGCTCCTCCTGGACCTCAGATTGTTTTAAATAATTGTGTGACTCTTTAAACTTTGTGCAACTCACTAATGCACCAACAAGGCCAAATCTTAAGTCAGATAATAAATCTACCTTGCTTGACCCAATTATAACAAATGCATTTCATAACTACTCCTCAACTGGCACATTTTGTAACAATGATAATGATCACTGTGTTAGAGATACAAAAATCCCCAAGGCCAAACCGTGTTCTGTTTTTGAAAGGCAGTTTAAAAATGTTGAAGTACAGGCCTTCCTGCATGATTTGTATAATAGTGACCTCAGTAGAGTCACTGTAGTTCCTGAGGTTGAGCTGGTATGTTTTCACTCAACCTTCCCGTCTAATAAACACTCTCCTATTAAGAAGTTCAGGGTTAGTGGTCGGGAGAATCCCTGGTTTTCAGAAAGTATATCAGAGCGAATTCATTTAAGAAACAAATGTTGGGCACAAGCTCGGTTCTCAAACTCCTCTGTTGACTGGATTCAATTTAAAATTTTTAGAAACAAATGTACCCTGATGATTAGAACGTCTAAATCTGGGTTTTATTTAAAGTCAGTCAGTCAACTGTTTGATTTTAAATCCATCTCAGTTACCCAAATTCACAAAGTCCTGAAAGACACTGACCACAAAACATCTGCAGGTCCAGACAACCTGGATCCTTTTCTCTTAAAGCTTGTTGTTGAGCCTATTGCACATATTTTCAATTTAAGTCTCCAAATAAACACAACATTGCTAATTAGAGGACACGCCTTGATTGAACGTGTCCCTATGGTCACATTGTTTTCAGTCTTTTCTGGGGGTACCATCATTTTTGTCCAGGCCTGTTTCATGAGTTTATTTTTTAAAATGATTCTGTTGAACCACGGTTGAAAAGCAATGTCTGATTTTTATTGGTTAATTTTCACAGAATTTTTATTTATTTTTACTTTTGTCAGATTCAAGTTATTTCTGTGACCGTTGTGGGTTTTTCTTTCATTAATCGAGGGGTACCAACTATTTTGTCCACGTGTGTATATGCAGCTCGTTTGTGTATATGCACGTCATTTGCCCTCTTCATCCACCGTACAGCTGCCATAAAATTGCACCAGCAAGCATTGAGATCTGCTCAGAACAATGTGACAACAGAATTATCAATTTGGTGTGAAAGATTTGGACAGGTGTCCACGTAGAAGTTGAAAAGAGTTTTTCTAGAAGGGTACAGCAAGAGTTTGTCAACTAAACGACTTAATGAATGAAATGAAATTGCTAGTCGAAGAATTGAAAGAGTTAGAAACACACAGACTTCGCCCTAAATGGATTTTTCAGACCCATGACAAGGTGAAACAACAACTGATCTCAAAACTTAAAGCGGATTTTACGGTTCTGTGAAGCAGACAACAACAAAAAAGGTACATTCTCACCATGTATTTAATCATGTAGTTGAAATGTAAGTGCTCTGATGGACAAACTGAGGATTTATTTGACCTTTTGCACAACAAAAAACTTGCTATAAACATCCCACGGAGAGGATCACAGCGAGGTCAGCCTCTCTCATCCCACTGGGAACCGCTGAACACATCTGCATAATAGCATTTGAGAGCTGATGCCAAATATGTGATGATGCCTAATCTAGAAAAAAAAAAAAAAAAAACCTGCAGAGGAAACATGGGGAGACATCATTAATGATAGATGAGCACCGGCAGGTCCAAATGAGTGGATACATTTCTGCATCCCCCAAAGAACTGAGGGAGAAACTTTGTGTTTCTGCTGAGAGAAGGAAGTGTAGAAAGAGCTGAATGCAGTCGGTCATTAAAAATGTATTAGATATTCTTTGGGGAGTGACAATTCCAACTTCAGAGAGGGAAACAAAAAAGTCTGGAAGATGACGGACAAATGCATCCTTGATATTTTCAGAGTGGATCTAATTCACTGCAGCTGGGATGAAAAACAAAACAACTTCATCTAGATATAGAAGCATCTCAGAGGAAGTCTGTTCTGTCAACACAGTTACTGTGAAGACTTATTTGATCACAGCCCGAGTCGATATGAGAGAGACGACTTTAAAACAAATAAGATCTCTTTATTGGCATTGATTAATGGGACAATTATTATGTTGTAGCTGGTGGAGGAGAGGATAAGAAGATCTGATGATAGAGTGTTTCGCTGGAATGGATGACTTGATTCCAGCTTGAATGATTGGGAAAAAAAAAAAAAAAGAAAGCAGGAATCAATATGAGAGATCAGAGGGCAAGCAAATAGAAAATGACGTGTTCTTAATATATAGAGGGCCCTCTTTCTTTCCTGTTCTTTGTAGCTCTGTCTTTATTTTCCTTTATGTTTCTCCCTCATTTGTAGCAGCACTGAGCTCAATAGAGGGAAGAAAAAAATTATCACATCTTCTTTTTAAACATGAAAAAGTTCACATGTAGGTTTATGACCGACTGTGATTTGAATTTTTGCACAAAGTCAGAATACTTGTGGCGCAGAATACGTAAAAAAAAAAACAATGTTGCTCCCTGTCAATGAGTCCTTGAGCTAGATGGTTATTTGAATTGTGATGGGGGTCACTGGAAATCAATAGGCCGCTTCCTGACGGGAGCACGAATGTGCGCTGAAAATATTAACAAGGATCAGGTCAGCAGATATGAACAATTTAAAGATTAGTGTGATGGCGGCACAGAAGGAAGGTCACGGGGTCGAGAAAAATCAAAACATGTTTCATCGTTCAAACACCAGCCTGCACACGAAGTTAAAAAAGTGCTTTCGAGGTATGTTGGTAATATTGTCCAAGAATCTGCAACGTTATTAAGCCCAGGATATTAGACTGCGGCTGTTAATCTGCACAAGCGTAATCAGCAAAATCTTTGGATAAATAGGGGATAAAAAAGTGCTAATGGCTACAGCATTTTTTATTAATGTCGAGGAGGGTCAGACTGGCTGCGTTTGCCTCATTCAGCCTCTGCTGAACACTTTCTGCAGAGTAACACTGGATCATATCCTGTCTGCAGTTTCATTATAGCCTGTTCTCTAAATCTGATTACGCAGGAAAACAACATTTCTTATCAGGAGCTGCTGTTATTGCAATCAGCTCTAAACTTCATTTTCAAACTTCGGAAAAGCAAACATTTTGGCACACTGGAAAGGCTTTAAGATTATTTTGTTGGTTCACGAGCAAGGCGGAATGACTTGTTATCTCACTATTACAAGATTAAAAAATACAAAACACACTCCTTTGTATGTTCTGCTGTTTGCTGTTGACACAGCTTTAAAGGTTCTCGTCAGTCTGCATCAGTGGGGTAAACAAGTATCCCAGGGTGCAATCTGCATCTACCGCTGTGTCAGGAGCAGTGTTTCAATATCTATACGACCATGCAATATACAATACGCCAGAAAAAAAGATTGAGTGTGTCCCAGTGCACAGCATAGCAAATACAGTGGCAAAAATATTCAGATGTCCTACTACATCCACTTAGATATAATGTATGCACGCCAGCGTGCTTTTCTGATTATTCTGACCCACAATCCTTGTGCAGTTACACCATGATGTCTCGCATATAAACAAGCTTGAGCCACTGAGAACACACAGACTCATTACGCACAACAGACTCTGATAGCCAAAGTTTAAGGTGCAATATT